CTATATCTGACTCTTTTAGTTTTAGGACTTAAAAACAACCGTTATGTGAACAAAACTATAATACTCTCTTTAGCAACTTTGTTGCGAGAGTATAATAAGTAAGGCTAAGTGCAAACGAACATTTTATACTCTTGCAACTTGCAAAACCCAAAATCGGGGAAATTCTTTAAGGTGTAAAACCACTCGTATAGAGAAAAGTCAACCGGATGTTCAAAAATCTTGATATTAGTGATAGGGGGCCAGGCCAAGTTTTTGCTGCAATTTAACTATTTTTGGCACAAACATACATCATTATGTGTAAAACACGCTCTCTTATTTCCACATATCCCTGGAAGATCGAAAATCTTTATTTTAATGGAAGCGATACTCCCCACTCCAATTCAATTATAAGAGAAGGATTATCCCTTAAGGTCAATTATATATATCACACATTGACCGATATTTTCGATCAAAAGTCAACTATAGGTACGGTGGGCTTGAACAGTTTTTATTGGATTTAAATAATTTTTTATTACACTAAAGACATTATTAGTGCGAAGTTTTATCCCGTTCTTGATTTGTTTACTGGAAACTGAACGAGTGATGTGGAATTAAAATTTGTGCTATATCAAATTTTTTTTCTCAAAGATACTCTGGCTACTGCGATCATTTGTGCCAAATATGAGTTTTATATCTTAATTTAGTGCTTAGTTATGGCCTTTTATATGTTTTCGCTGTATGGCGATTAGTGGGCGCGGCAGTTGTCCGATTACGACCATCTACCAACTCGAACTTTTTTGTACTAAGAAACCTACATACCAAGTTTCATCAAGATATCTCAAGTTTTACTCAAGTAACAGCTTGCACAGACGAACGTACGGACCATGATCATTTATATATATTATACTATATAACCCTATATTTATCTCAATTAGTTTTAGGTGATATGTACAACCGATAGGTGTACATATAGAGGTACTCTATACTCTCTAACAACTGGTTGCAAGAGTATGAAAATAAATATCTGAATAAAGATTATTAGATACTAATATCTAAACCGTTAATTCCGCAGTCAATAGAACCACTTCTTTATGGCCAACTTTTACAAGGTGCTTCACTAAAGGAAATCAAACATCTACAACAAATATGGAATTCCGGCGATTTCGTTGCCTTCGATTACGGTGTGGAGGGTAATCGCAAGTATTATAATTCTGTGGAGCCATACAATTATAATCTCAGTCTTATAACCGCACCGCTTCTGCTCTATTTCGGAGAAAGCGACGCCATAGCAACGCCCGCGGGAGTGCATAGCATCTACTCACGTGTATTAAATGCGGTGGCCGGTGTCTACCGTATAAACGCCGTCAAATTTAATCATTTCGACTTTCTATGTGCCAGCGATGTAAAAACTTTGGTCAACGATAGAGTCATCGCTATGATGGAACAATACTTAGGCGGTAAATTGTCATACGTAATTGAGTGAAACATAAAAAAACAATTATGCATGTTTCTTTATACTCATGTAATTGCGAAAAGAGAGTTGATTATAATTATTAACATAATAATACAATTATTTTAGCGCTCACAACGAAAGACAAATGCGACATTATACTTTTATTTGTTTTCTTTGGAATTACTTATGTTTCAAATTTATTTCAATACAAAACTGTTGATTTATTCAAATTGCATAATTACTTAAACCAACAGCCATAAAAAGCATAGTCATTCATGCATTTGAAAATCAACAACCAAGTTAACCAGCTAGCTTAAGTCTACTTTCTTTCTTTTCCGCTTTGTTAATGGCTTTCCGATTTATGTCGTACAAGCGGGCTAAAGCTTTAAGCTACTGTAAGCTGTGTAAATGTACATATTTATACATATGTACATGTATTTCAATAGTGTTTGTTCAGCAATTCATAATATTTACCTAAACAATCGGTCACCATTTTAGTACAGCYTTTTTATGTCTTGTCTATTTGCCTGAGTCGAGACGAGTTCACAAATTAGTTGCTCGCTAGTAACACTGCTAGATCTAAATGATCAACAGTCATAGAATTCTTGACAAAAATGTGTATAATTTTTGCACTTCTTATAGCATACAATTATATTTCTAAAAAGTAAAATTTCTGAAAATATATTCTCAAATAATTTTGCGTTTTTCTGGTAAACTGATTACAGCAGACAAACGGAATCAACTCAGCTCGTCACGCTGATCATTTATTTGCTTTACATATTATATAAGTTTCTTTTTAAGCTGTTACAAACTCGCAAACTAATTAGAAATAGGTTATTAGTTATTATTCTATCGATACTATGAATGACATCAATATTAAATTTGTTTTTCTTTCTCATATATTATATTGAAGTTTAGAAAGCTATAATAATAAAATTTATTATTACCATTATTTTTAAAACTTAAATACATTTAATATACTTTCATTTGGCCAGGAATTTTAAAAATTTTAACTTTCTTTAGTATGAGTGGTAAAACATACTTTACACTTAACTGAAGCTCATGCACTTCTCCTCTGGACCACGATAAGGAGAAATTCATTAAACGCAGTTTCAACAAAGTTTCACCAAACCAAAATCTGTTTATTTCGATCAAAATAAGCTGTAAAATAAAAAAAACTGTATTATTACATTTTAATGATGCCTTCCTTAAGTCAAATTAGCTGCTTGCAAATTTAAAAAAAGTGAAGCACAAACAATTGGATATTCATATAAGAGTGTATACCAACACCCAAGGTGTGCGCTGCTAATGCGCCCTTTACGATCGCAACGCCGGACAACATAAAACAATAAGTGATAGCAGTTGGCCGATATTTTTGGCAGCACACCAAAAGCACACAACTTGACGCCGTGTCGATAGTTGTCATATCGCTTAGCTTTTACATATTTTTCTTGATTACTCTTTCAATTACTCTTTCAATGGGTTTACGAGTGTTGGTTTTTTCCACTTTGTTTCATATTTGTTTTAATTTCATTTTCATTTTTTTTTTTTCCAAATATTAACGCTCTGATCGACTTTCTTGGTTGCGGTGAAACGCATTCAAAATATTTAACGCGACGCGAATACACGTCCGGCGGGCACTACTAGATGACAACGATGACAATAAATTTATATTCGCTGAGAATTGTTAAACAGAACGCAGTCCTCTATTAATTTTGTAACCGCTAGTGTATGCCGTAATTTCTCTTTCTATTTAATTGGCTTAATGAAAATTGGTATCGAATGAATGAAAAGAAGTGTTAATGTGGTGTTAAACAATAAAAAAATATTAATTTGGGAATAAAGTAATCCGTGTTAAATCCCATTCGTCTTGCCTTACATAATAAATGCGTCCGTTCCAAAAATTTTCTAGTATTTCGCTGCTACTTTGTCTTCTTATAGTATGTCAAATTGTTTATCGCAGTCGTGGTCAGTTCATCGACGATTCAGAAACCGATCCAGATGATGAAGAGGATGAAAGTGTCGAGGATGAGACGCCGGAAGAGAAAGCAGCTCGTAAAAACATACAGGAGGATTCCAATCTACCTGTGGTATGTTCACAATATCTATATCAGTTAGACAAATATATTACATGTATATAAGATTTTCTCGAATTCAATAAACAAAGAATTAGAAATTTCTTTTAAAACGTTTGAAAACCATATATATATATGATATATGGTTTTTCAGAGTGTTTTTATTTTAGAAATATAGTAATAATAGAATTAAAGGCATCGTCGAAAACTTAGTTGGACAAGTTTTGAACAAGTTTTGTTTTTAATAAAGTGAGCGGATCATAATAATTCAAAGGAAAGAGTTGTGTCAAGATTGGTTCGTACTGATTGCTTGATAAGCTAGATGGACAATATTGTCGACACTCAATGCTTACAGTTTTAATGGTCTACTGTTCATTATGAATATAAATTTTTCATTTTTATTATTATTAATAAAAAATGTATTTTCATAAAAAGAAAAGGAATATTGAATATAATTTCGCAATATTTTAATTGAAAATAAAAAATAATTTTTATTTGCATATACAACGTTATAAAATATCTACTTCGCAAACAACTCCGAATATATATATATATATATTTTATGTCCGACAACAAGGATAAATTAATTGCAAAATATGGCTATCCGGCGGAAGTTCATTATGTCACCACTGAAGATGGATATATACTAACTATGCACCGCATCCGGCAACAAGGAGCTCAGCCATTCCTCTTACAACACGGACTTGTTGATAGCTCAGCTGGTTACGTTATAATGGGGCCGAATATCAGTTTAGGTAAGTGAATGCGAAAGAAGTTCTGTGTTGTGCAGAATGATAATAAAACTAATTTACTCAACAATATTATGAAATTGGTTTTGTTATTTTTTTGTAACCATAATTGTTTTTACTACTGCTACTGCTTTGTTATTGCTAAAGCATTTGGCACCCTCTTTTAAAAACTAGCCATCAGTTTGATTTGAACACCTTACATACAAATTACATAGAAATGAATATTAAGTTCATACATACATATATGGTACTTAGTTGATTTAGCGGCGTAGTTTTCCGTTAACCCGACGCATAGCCATATATTCTTCTAGTGTATGTATATACCTATATGAGTTTTGGCAATTTAACAATACCGTTTTTAAACAGCAGCCACAAATACACTGATCACTCGAACAAAACATGATCCTATGTCACTTGTAACAAAAGAATCAACTATTTTTCAATAATTTTACACAACTGAGATCACCTGATAAAATTTGTATTTTTTCCCATAACTTATAATAACTAAATAAATGTATAAAATCGTGTACAATTCAATTTTATTTATTACAAGTAAAAGCATAAATATGTTTGATAAAATTGCAAACATTTAATAATATTTTATCAATAAATAAAATTTTACACAAAGCTTTGTAAATATAATTTTTACGATCCAGCTTTTACAAGATTAAAGCGGAAACATCTCGGTAGTCTTAACTTTCCACATTAAAGTCTCAACAAATCTGTGAGAGGCTCAAAGCGCTTTGTCGATTTGTAAGGATTTTATTATCCGGTATATAGATGTATTTTTAGATACCAAATCGGACCGTAGTTGGAAGACAATGATTCGAAACATTGGAGCAGAATCTGTACTCAATGGAATTAAGAAAACCATATAGTTACTTTAAATTGGACATTATAGTCCCCAGACGCCAATCCAATAGAGAATATTTCGGCTCTGATGAATCGCCAAAACATCAAGAAAACATTTTATAGTACGTTAACAAAAGATTTCATTAGGCTCCTCCAAAATATCAATTTCCTACGGAATATGCTAAAAATTTAGACGCAAGCTGTCATTAATGATGACAGGCTATGACAGATAACACGGGAGATTGAATAAATGTCAGCTATAACAAAACGATGAATTTTCTATAATTACCACATTTTTCCCAAAAAAAAAGATACCTACCCTTTATAATCATAGGCTCACTCAGTTTTATTATTATATTTTACTTCGGCTCATTGAAAATTAAATTAAGATCATCATTAAATAATCTATATGCGATATAAAATTTTTAAAGTTATTTTAATTAAAACATCACACATTTTTACTAGCCTACACAGTTTAAAGTCAGCTGGAAAGACGCAAATCACCATATAGGATTTATTGGGGAGAGAAAAGTCTGTTGTATTAACTTTTGGGATTGCTCAGCTATACTCGAGATCTTACTTTCAAACAATTTACAAATAAACAAGTACGGAGGGGCTAAGTTCGTGTGTAACCGTCTTTTTATATTTTGCAACTTGCAATGATAGAAACCATAGAAACCTTCAGGTTTTGATAAAACTTCAAAAATGTTGCGAAAGAATTATATAGTGCGAATTATTTATACGACGCAATCGTAAATAACAATCAAATTTGGCATTTTTATACTCTCGCAACAAAGTTGCTAAAGAGAGTATTATAGTTTTGTTCACATAACGGTTGTTTGTAAGTCCTAAAACTAAAAGAGTCAGATATAG